AGGTAACGAGCATTATAAATCACTTAGAACCAGGTACCGCATATGAAGTTGGTGCTATCCTTATAACAAACGATGGGAATTTCAATGACCAAGACATAATATACGGTCAATATAATACGACTTGTAAGCAACCGAAAACCACAGATTATAATGTTAAATTAGTCAGTGGAATAAAAAGTCTCAACATAACATGGGATACTATACAATCTAGTCGATATGAATGTGATGTTACTGAATACGTTTTGACATTAAATTCTAAAGATATCGAAACTCAGGAAATATTTTCATGTCCAGGTAGTGATCTATATTTAAACGATTTACTCCCGGGCATTGAATATAAAATACAATTAACTGGAAAAACAATGAATGGATTGTTAGAGTCGTCGCCCGTTTATTCAGCATTTCCTCTTATGAAACGTAAATAGAAAAAATAATATTTATATTCTAATTTTAACTATTGAACGTAATGTACTACGCTACTTGTTTCTAATACCGTTCGCGTATTTCTCGATCCTAGTACGTTTCATCGCGAAGGGCGGAGTCAAAACCACTCTGCATAATGTGTACATGTTTTTACCAATCCTAATTTAATTCAGCGCGAGTCGCTGAGCCCACATCGGGTTCGTAATTTTAATATAAACACTTAAAACAAATATAATATTATCAATATTTATAGTTATGAATTGTTTTCGTAACATTAAATTATATAGGTACATAGTCATATAGATTATAGGTTTTAGTAATTATAAAATTACCGCTTTTAATAGGTATAAACTCGTATGCCACATAGAAGCATAAAACGTTGGGAACACACTAGTCGATATTTACAATTTTATCTTATTTGAATACACATTTTATAGACGAGTTTGATAGTTACCTTGTTCGTACAACTTAATCAATTTTTAACATAAAATTTGGTTGAAAAAGTGTGTAAAATAAGATTGAAAATACCATCATTTCAAAAATTATTTTAAGTTATTATTATTTAAGTTAATATTAGAAAATTTTTACAAACATTATAAGATCAACAAAAATTTTATACCACAACACTATAAATATTCAATTAAAAAAAATAAAAGTCAAAAGAAATTTAGGAGCAAATACAAGCAAACAAACTCAATGCAACACATCCCTAACATTACATTTTTAAACAATAACACTATGCAACACAGCCTGATTAAAATATTTTACTTATAATAGGTATTTATTTATTTTATTTATTATGATTACTAAAACCTGTAATCTATATGACTATGTACCAATATAATATAATGTTACAAACACAATTCATAACTATAAATATTGATAATATAATATTTGTTTTTTAGTGTTGATATTAAAATTACGAACCCTGTGTGGGTTCAACGCCTCCCAATGCATTAGATTAGTATCGGTAAAAACATGTACATGTTTTACATCATGCAGAGTGGTTTTGGCTTCAGCCTTCGCGCTGAAACGTATTAGGGTCGGGAAATACACATATCTTTCCATAAAAACTAATTAAGAAAAAAAAAACAGTTGAACTGCACGATTAGCGGACATCGCACCAATACATTTTTATTTTTCATGTGGTCTCCAAAACAATATTGTGTTTCCTTCATATTTTTCAGAAATTCGTGAGACCATAAATTATAGTGTGCGTGATATATTCTAAATGATACTTATATTTTGTTACTAAGATTCTAGTTTTATAAAATTGAATTCCTTCTAGCATAAAAACATTATAACTATGAATATTGGTGAAAATAAATACAAATATTTCTTAATATATCTAAGATTTATGAATTCGATATTGGATTACCATAATATGTTTGAATTACTGAATTATAATTTTATATCCATTATACAATAAATTGTTTTCTTTCATCAAAAATTCAACCAATTTCAATTTAAATTACTATTTATACAATACTACAAATGACTATCTTAAAATTTCAAAAAATATAACTAAGACAATAAATTAAAATATCATAAATTTTTATATTTATTTTTTTAATTACATCATATTAAAATACAGATACTCACTCCAATATTTAAACAAAAATAACTCCACACGAATATTCGTAATAGATCATTTAGTTACATTTATTATTAGTATGTATAACTATAATTTGAAAATTCAGTGCAAAGTTTAATCTTATCTCCGTTTGAAAAAGTACAAATTTGGTAGTGATTATGGTAAATTTAATAAACAGGTAATTTTTCTTAAACTCTATGAATCGTTAAATAGAATAATAATCATAAAAAAATGTATATTATTAATTAATAACTACGAATTTTAATATACTTATTACAGAAAATGATGCAGAAATAACAAATATTTCTACCGTAATAACAAATGAAAAAATCAAAGTATTCTGGAATATATTAACTTCAAATCAGCAAATTGATACAATTAATGGACCATTAACATTTACAGTGAAATACAAAGTAATATGACAATTTTACTAAATTTTTAGCTGTATCTAATAACTCAGAATACTTTATAATAAATATTTTTCCGTATGTGCATATTATTTGCTAATCTAAATTTAATTTGTTAGTGACTATAAACTTTAAATTTTCTTAGTTGACGAGAGTTCTTAGTTGTTCATTGAAAGAAATAGAGAACGAATGGACTTCACTGACAATTGTGAATGGAACTAGTTTTGAAATATTCGATACAGTTCCTAATGCTCAGTACACTATACGAATTTTTGTCGGTAATGATGATAGTGAAATTCGTTCACAGAATATTGTTTATGCATTTACACCACTGTCAAGTAAGTTACAGAGATAATCAAACTTATTATATTGTTTATTGAAAATATTCTTTTGATTTTCAATTAGGGCCAGAAACCAAACCTATATTAGACATCGATCATCCTATATATGTATCGAACAACTCTGTGTATGTTAAATGTAATGTTGATCAAAAGGAATGTTCAAAATTAAACGGATTTTTCTCAAAATTCTACTTCGTTTTAAAGGTACATTTTGTAAATACAATCGTAAAATTGCGGTTATATTACATCAATATTTATAGGACCAAGATAAAATGATCTTACGAAAGAATGAAACAAAAGAAAATAATATTTACATTGATAATCTAAAATCAAACACATTTTATGAACTTAATGTATTTATAAAAACAAACTATGGCCTTAATACTGAATATTTTCTGGCCATCAACTTTAAGACTAAAAATGAAAGTAAGATAATTTTTAATCAGGAGAGTCAAAAACGGTTAATTTTTCTCGGGGTTCGGGTAACTGTTTAAAACCGGGTTTTATTTTTTATTGGGTTAATGATTACTAGTATAGTTACGATTTATGAATTAAATATATACAATACAAATTGTAAACTTGATAAAGGAGACTAGTTAAGAAATACAAAATTCGTATGCTATTCATGTTACCAGACAATATTATTCAACGAGTTGAAAGTAACGGAAGTAATGAAGGATACCTATTACATAAAATTAATAATAAAGAATAATAATAAACGAAAACGGTAACATTTATTGACAATGTATACAAAAATACAATTTTTATTCAAGACTATTGACTAAATAATTATTATTGAAAATTGTGTATTCTGACTTCCAAGTATTACCTCCTATCGGCATAATCAGCGATAAATCATATAGAATACACTTACCAATTTTTAATTTTTTCTCCTAAATATTAAGTTTAAAGATAAACATTTTAAAATTAATATTAAACATTGTGAACTTGAAAAGTTGAATTTTGGTTTAATTACTCTCCGGGCTTCGGGTTTGAAGAGAAACCGGGTTCATATATTTTTCGGATTTCATTTTATAATTTTTCATGGGTACCGCAGGTGCAAAACTAAGTTAAAACTCGTTTTGACTCCCTGGATTAATAATAATAATAACAGT